GGGGCATGGCGGGGGATTCAGTGGCAGAGTCTGTCGCAGCTTGGACAAATGCAGAGAATGTAACGTTCGCAACAAAAGCAGTTTTGTTCAGGTCTCCAAGCAAGCGCGAGGGTAGAGTGAGGCATTTAATTGATGTTCGATTCTGCGCACGACTCAGGGCTACGTACAGCTGTCCATGTGTGAAAACATCTGATCGTAAATCCAGTCCTATTTTGGAAAGAGTTTGCCCTTGGCTTTTGTTGATTGTGAGAGCATAGCAAACCCTAAGCGGTAGTTGCAACCTGGAGAAGGTTATGCCATTCTGTCCTACTTTGGCTTTGAAACGTATTCGTGGAATAAGCACCAGGGTTGAATCCCCGTCGAGAAGTTCGACATGGACAACGCGTGGTGAAATCGCACGGACTATGCCTTTTTGACCATTAACCAGTCATAGGTCCTTGCTTAAAGTTGAGGTTCCTTGTTATCATTACCATACAGTTCAGCTTTAGGTTTAGGACATGAGGCGGAACGCCTGCAACGTCAATTGAGTTGAGGTCAGCAGCCATAACGAAGTCGAAGCTATCGGTATTGCAACTGTCAGGGTCGACCGTGTCGCAACTGTTCACAGTATAGAGATCACCAGGCAGCAGGTGAAGGATATGTTCATTGATTGTGTCTATGGTGTCATTGGTAGAGGACAGTATTGCTCTCGACTTGAATGTGGTGGGGTCTGCATGTAGAATATCGGGGTAGACGAAGTTGATCAATTCTTGGAATGATTCCGTATTCTCAATGACAAACGGATCAGGTGGCATTGCTGGGATGTCATGAATGTATGCTAAGGGCACGGCATCAATTCCGTCGTCGGTTGTGGTGTGTGGCTGGGCTCCGATACCAATATTGCGTACAAAGGCGGCGTAGGGAGCATCCTCGCGATCACGTTGGGAAATGGTCAGGCGCATTCTATGGACATACGGCCACAGTGGGCTTGAAATGATGGGAAGCATCAACTGTTTCTGCCTGTCCGCCGTACACGACGACGGGTCCTATTTGACGCATGTCGCCACTGAGCAAAACAGTTTTGCCGCCCATTAGCAGGGTGTTTGTTCCCCATGAGGTCCTGTAGCGTAAGGTCAAGCGCCTCGACGGAAAATCGGTGGCTCATTGGAATTTCGTCCCAAACGATCAGATCACACTTCCGCAAAACTTCTGCTCGTTGCGATTCCGCGGAGATATTGCACATTGCCCCGGCGACATTTTTGTCGTCAAGTGGCAGCTTGAACATTGAATGGGCAGTCCAACCACCTGGCAACTGGAGGCCCGCTATGCCGGTGCTTGCTACACATAGCACAAGTTTTCCGAGGGGTCTAAGGTGAGCACATATGATGCTCTCTGTATACGTCTTTCCTGTCCCAGCGGGTGCATCAATCATGAAGACGTTCGTCGAACCGTTGTGTTGGGTGACGTTGTGGACGACGTGGTCGTAAACAAAACGCTGTTCGTTGGTAAGGTTAGGTAGGTGCTGAGCAGCGAAAACACGCATCTGTTCGACGTCGAACATATGTCTGAACCGTAGGTACTCCGTGTCTAAATGAATGACTGTAGGAAGTCCGGCGATGGCGTTGGTACGTCCATGGTGCTGCAATCCAAGGTCGATTTCCCGAAGCGCTGCGTTGCTCGCTTCGATGGAGGTCATGGACATACGTAAGTCTTGGGTTAAGTCTCGTTTAAAGTGCTCCAATAGAATTCGAGCAGGTGCACCGTCAAGAATAAGGGTAACGAATAGTTGGCGCAGCTGCTTACCTGTATTGAATATTACAGCCTCTTCCAAGCAAATCTTGTACTCTTCGTCATGTTTGACGATGCCATGCATGGCTCTAGCAGCGTCTTGGAATGTTTCATGAACGATTTCGTTGTGAGTCCTGAGTAATTCAAACGATCTTGCCGGTTTGTGGTGCAGAAGTTGGCGCAGGTAGAAGACGTCCCCTTTATCTGGTGTAATAGCCGTAACACGCGCAACGTTCTTGTCTGAAGTGCGAGGTGTAACATAATAGCCGAATGTGTCACGAAAATGCGTTCCTGTTTTCCGTGACTTTCGATCTTTGTTGACAATGTACTTCTCGTTGTAGTCCAGGTACGTGAGGGAATCGAAGTCGGACTCGGTAGGTCTTCCAAAGTACAGCATGAGGTCGGATTTGGTCTGTTCGGCTTCCGACTTCTGTTCGGCACGTGTAAGACTTTGATCGACAATGACGTGTTGTTCATCGGGAAGGTGCAAGCGAAGAGACGTGACGGGATTATATAATCGCCACGCAGCCTCTGCCGCTGACACGTATCTTGCCGATCGGTAAGCTTCAATTTCGTCACCACCACAAACAATCTTGGCCTTGATAAAGTCGGCGCCTTTCGTGATGTACTTGTAAATATACTTGACTATGGCGTTGGCGGTGCAGACGTCAAAACACATGTGACAGTTGTATTTGGAAAGGAGCCAAATGTTGTACGGTGCTATCCATTGATTGGTGGCGAATGATTCGACAAATTTCCCGTTCACTCTGTGTGTGTAGGGA